AACATCATGGTGGCCCTTTGTTTTCTTACAGTTTAAATACAAACAACAAAGCCTTGTGGTTTAAAGTTAATTTGTTAGTGTAAATAAATTTCTTGCCAATGAGTATTATTGTTGTTAGACAACGAATGCAATAAAATGAGAAATCCTGAATCTTTATTAGAATTTGTATCGAGTCCTCACTTTCCTGCCCGTTCTGTTGGTCATTCTAGACGAAATAATAACTGGTAAGCAGGACTGGACAGCTGCTGCAGGATGGGTCAGCCTGAGGGTGGGGGGCACAGACTTGACCTGCTTGTTCTTTCCCTCCTGCTCAGTGCCGAAGACTATTTTAATCCCAGCTGTTGGCCAAATTGGCATGATTCACAGGCCTCCAAGTGGATCTCATTTGCAATCTGTAATTATGTAAAAAAAAACAAAAGTGTAAGGATAGAGAATGGCCTTTTTTTCATATGCAGGTGAAATACAGTGTGCAGTGTTTTGCTGCAGATGGATGTGACAATAGGCTGCCATCACACTGATGCTGGCCAGTGTTTAAAAGACCTGGATTAGTTTTGGTATGTAAAAGCATTTTACCATTTTACACTCAAGTGTAGGTTAGTCATAATGCACATTTTATACATTCAAAGTACAGCAGTTCTTCTGCTAAACATGTTGAATATATCTTTACTCCTTATTTTTATTTATTCATTCTATTTTAGCAATGCTTTAAATGAGGGAAGAGCAGAGAGCACAGACTGTCCAATTTGTGACATGGTTTCAGTGGATTTACATCTGGCAGAATCTAGGCCAGACTTAATCTGTCTAACCCTGCCTCTGTTTCCCAGCAGCTGAATCATAAACCCTGCTTCCACTAATATGGCCACCACATACAAGAAGATAAAAGAATCCTCAATCCATAGAATTATTATCTTAACTAAAATAGCTACAGTAAGAGGCTGTAAATCCACAACTGACATATAAAATGTGTCTGCTTAGCAGCTTTGTACGCCTGGAGCCATCTATATGTCTGTCCTTGAGTGTGTGGAAGTTCTTTCAGACACCTGCAGTTTGGTTTCTGAAATGCCCCAAACCGCTCCAGACTCCAGAGCTTGTAGAAGAGGATGGGTTATGCCCTCCTGTGGGAAGCAAGCCTGGATTTTTCCCGTGAAGGGTACCTTGTAAACAGGAGGCCAGGCTTGAGATGTATGTTCTTCCACTGCTCTTTCTGGACTGAGGCTGCCAGTGAGTTCTAGCAAGTGGTGATGTCATGCTGAGGAGTACAAGCTGTACCCCAGCACTGCTTTAGCTGCAGAACACGTGCCTGCCATCCTGCCCAGCACCGCTTCAACGCACCATGGCCCAGCATCAACCCCCAGCTCTGCACTGTGAGACACGGGACACCCTTCAGGGGGACTGGCAAGGAGCTTCCAACCCTCCATGCCTCAGGTTAAAATTCCAAATTTTACTATTAGTAACAGCAGACACTAAATCCTACCTATGATCTCTGCCCTCTCAAATGCTTCAGAAAAAGATAAGGCCCATTGCTTGCATGTGCTGCTCTCTGTGGGCAGACTGCTGGGAAACCTTCAGTACAGGAATAGTTGTTTTTTTTAAAAAAAAAGCCAGTGAACTCATTCTTTATTTTCTGATAGGCCAAAACCAGCAAAAAAGTGTAAGTTTGAAAAAATCCAACAGCAAGTAGGTTGGATCATCTGAAGATACTTCCAAACTACTGGAAAATATTAATTAATGTTAAGTTAATTAAATTTAATAAAAAATAATGTTTTGATAGGTAGGGTTGCCTCTACCAGTGCTGAGGGAAATGCTGGCTGTCACACTTCTACAACCACAGAGTATATCCCAGCCCAGTAGTGACCGGTTGGTGTTTCACCCGTGTTAATGCCACTGTTGCAAAACATCAGGTCTTCAGAAGGCACTTAATTTACTTGAGCACAAATAGTGGAGCAAGGCTAAAATAATTATTTTTAAATATTAGTGCAGGATGTTGATGGCTACTCATGAACAAATTAATACCCAAACTTCTTATTGTGAGCATTTCCTTCAGAGCAGTTTTTTTCTGCCTGGGCTCTGGAAACAACATCTGTTCCTCAAGGCTGAAAATGGATTATGAGTTCCTGTAGGAAAACAGGCAGCTTCCCAGGGAAGCTGAAAATGTCCTGCAGGGAGAGAAGCTGCTAAGAAAGGAGAATCTAAACCAGACTAAGGCCAATTATGTTCTCAAGTGCTTGGTGCAGTCAGCTGATGCCAAGGGCAAGTCCCCTTGTTCAGGGCCCCCTCTGCTCTGTGGAAGGGCTGTCTGCACACTGTGCACGCTGGGGTTTGCAGAGACTTGAAACCATGATCTGAACAGGTCGGTCCCTGTCACCAAAACCTCCACAGGAAGATGGTAAAACATTGGCAGGTCTCAAGGCCCCAGATCAACTGTGGGCATTTTGGAGAGGAGCTGCCAACATAGTTTGTGCACAGACCTGCCCATGCAGGGCTGTGCCCAGGGTCCAAAGTCAATTAGCTGCATGTTTAACCCTAAAGCTCTAGTCTCCCCCTCTGGCCATTGCTAGACCCCTGGAGCACATGCTGCTTGGGTACAAAACCTGACAAATAACAGAAACCACTATTGCTGTGAGGTAGGGAGGTAGGGGGTGTCAGGATGGGGGAGCAAGAAAGAGTTGTCTGGTGTGGCAGCAGCAGGAAGCTGCTAGGAAGGTGCAGTGACTAAGCCAACATGGCAGTGGCTCATTTCTTCCACCTTGCCCAACTTCTGGCACCCAGGGACATGCCTTACCCCTCAGTGTCTCTGCTACTGAGAGGGTGGCAGCGTGGGTGCTGCCTGGGCACGGCAGGTGATGTGGCAACACCCACCACCCACTGCAGCTGTGCAGAGGAAGGGGGATGGCACCATCTCTCCTGGACAGCAGCACAGCCCCAGCCACCAGCCCTGGTCACAACTTGCTTGCTTTGCTTAGAGCTGTCCCTTTCCCTCCAAGAAGCAGCAGGAAGTCCAGCATCCCAGTGGATGAAAGCCTTGGGCTTGTTGGTGTTAGAAAGGAAGGACACCAGAGCCAAGGTGTCAGGACACACCGTTGCTGTTGAGGGCCACTGCTTGCCCAGATCTTAGCCCACAGTACCACCTCCTCTCAGCCAGAACAGCAAATCCCAAGGACAGACAAAGGTTTGCACACACTCTGACTACTGGCTCAGTTCAGGCCACTACACAGGTTTATTTGCTCCAGGTACTGGGCAGAAGTGTGCCAGTGTTTCCATAGTACTGAACTTTCCATGTGTTCACCAGACTAGAGGGGGCCACAGCTAGTGGTGAAGCAAATTGCAGCAGAGACATCTGTAACAAGGAAAGAAGAGCTCACTCCATAGGTGAGAAACCAAGTGGTGGCTCAAACAGGGGCTTCTGCAAGACTAGTGTTTTGCTGCAAAGCACAAGGCTGATTGCCAACTTAGTGCACCCTCAATTCAGTTCTTAACCAACAATAAAAGGCAACTAAAAGGAAAGGAACCTGGGAGTTTCAGTGAATAATGGGCTAACATGAGTGAACAGTGTGCTGCAGTGGCAAATAAAGCCAACAGGGTGCTGGGCTGCATCAATAAGGCATCACCAGCAGAGATAAAGAAGTCATCATCCTACTCTACTCAGTGCTTGTCAGACCACATCTGGAACATTGTGGTCAGGGCCACAAGGATGATCAAAGGACTGGGAAGCCTGCCACATGAGGAAAGGCTAAGAAAACTGGTTTGTTCAGCCTTGGGAAAAGAAGGTGGCTACCAAGAAGATGGAGACACCCTTTGTACAAGGAGTGCCATGGACAAGACAGTGGGTAATAGGTGCAAGTTACTTCCAATTGGACATCAGAAGAATATTTTTCACCATGAGAACAGTCAGACATAGGAATAGTCTCCCCAGGGAAATAGTGGATTCCCCAACACCAAACACTGTAAAGACTCAGCCTGGCAGGGTGCTGGGCCCATCTCATCTAAACTGTGTTCCTACCTAGAGAGGTTAGACCAGGTGATCCTTGAGGTCCCTTCCCACTTGGCATTCTATGACTCTATGAACACCATGCTAAAAATATCCACCAACAGAAACCTGGACAGGTCTTTCAGCAGTAACTGCTGCTGGACAAAGGTGAAGTGCAGCTGCTGTGCAGCACCACAGTGGGCATCGGCCCCGTACAGGCTAGAAGTGAAACACTGAACATGTGTGAGCCACACTCAGAGGTCCCCACTGTGGCAAAAGGCCCAGAAATGCTCCCTTTGCTTCAACAAACAGTAATTGTCAATGAACTTTTCAGTTAAGGTGCTCAGGGATTGTTTCCCAATCTACAAGAAAAAAAAGGCTTTTTGAAACTCCCTTTGGAAGATTCATCAAGAAACTACTCCAAACTGAAGCCTCCCTCTCTCCTTAGTAGGATTAAAACTAATTTATGAAACTGAAATAATGTTAGGAAATGACTTAAAGGGGCAAGAAGGAGACTGAAATAACATTTATTCTCCTTCCAGTTATTTTGGAAACACTAGGGAAAGCCAACAGGAAGGTTCATTAGGAGAACCATTAGCACAGTCCCTGGGAAAGCTCTGTGAAAAAAGCTCTAAAATTCCCTCTGTGGAAGATCTGTGACAAGAAAGCACACTGCACTGGTAGTTACCAATTCTCATTTGCAAAATCACTTTTCTTTGGGGAAAAAAAAAACAAAACACACAACAAAACAAAAAGCCCCACCAAAAACAATAAACAAAAAACCAAAACAACAACAGAAAAACACAAAAAAAACCCCACAACAAACCCCAACACAATAACCAGAAATCCAGTTGCATCAGGTGATTCTGCCAGTCTGCCAGTTTGGGAATTCATAATCTGAACTTCAGGTTACCCTTTGTTACTGACACAGGGTCCTCTGCACTACACAAACAAACTTCTCACCTTTGACTCCATTTCCTTTACTATTGGGTAAAACTCCCATTCTGGAGAGGAGGCCTAAAACACGTTTCACTTACTGTAGTTAACCAGTATTGGAACAGTCTCCTTGTTAGCAAATCTAGCAGAAACCGAGCTCCTAAGGAGGGAAACCCCTTGCAGAGCAGCAGACCTTACCCAGAAGAGCAGCTACAGCTCACAGTAGAGAGCCCTGTGGAAGACGGTCCCGATGAGCAGCTTCCCGCGGTGCACGGCGGCCACCGAGCTGCCCTGCAGCACCGACCCGTTCTCCGCGTACACGCGGGTCACCACCGGCTCCTCCCAGAGCGGGTTCTGGATCCGCAGGACCTGCCGGAGAGGGGGGATACAGCTGCTGAGATTTTCTTCAGGTGAAAATCCTCCGCAGATGGAGGGAAGGTCACTGTGTGAACTTAAGCAAATTAGTTGGGTTTATCAGCTGATGATAACTGAAATGATTCCTGTGTTAGGGCCATAAATTCTGCTTTGGTGAGGCACGGTCTATGGAGATGATTATCTTTTTTAAGTGTTTGTGCAACCCAGGCTCCACTCCAGTCAGTCAGTAAGGCAGCCAACCCCAGCACCAGGCATGGGCACAGGTTTTTCCAGCCTAAGAGTTACCAAGTATCTCCTTATTTTCATGCTTTTTCTTCCAGACAAAGTAAAAAACTGCCTAATGTCACAAATCTCCTGCTACTGAACATGGTAATTTTGAAAAATGTCTTATGGGAAGCTTCAGGCAAAGCTGAAATCAAACAGACACCAACCAGCCACCTGCACTAGTGGTTGCTGGCATGCTGATGCCAGCTCCTCATTGATTTCAGAAGGAAAGAAGAATTACAGTGTCACCTACAGTTGAACCACACTTGCACAGATAAATCATTGGAGTGTGAACAGTTCTGGTCGTGCATTGCACTCAGTCAATTATTTTTTGTTTGACAAAGAGATGCTGGCTTAGCAATTAACACAGTTCATCAAAATCTGATTGTGTGGCCACAGCTGCACTGAAAGCTGCCTGAAGAGTCCAGAATTACTGAGCTACTAGGTGGATATTATTCAGATGTCTCTTAAGGATCTGAATAGATGTTTGTTAGCTGAGTACATGCTGCTCAGGCTTTCCACTGAGAGCAGAAGCTATAAACAAGGAGCCAGCATGGTCTTTGCTTTCACAAAGGCTGGCCAGGCACTTCTCTAGGCAATGCAGGGTTAAGAGATACCCGGATGATTTGAACAGAACAACTTTCTTGCACAGACACAGGCAAAAGACCAGTGACATCTCCCAAAAGGTACCTCAGAGCCAGGCAAATTTTTCGGATCATCATAGAACAGCTTCATCCCATTAGGATGACATCCTATCCAGACATCTCCAGTGTCACTGTCAATAAACAAGTTGTCAACCAGAGTGTCCAGCTGTAGCGTCTATGCAACACAGAGGAAAAATAAGAGGAAAGTTAAAGCAATCAGAAGCCCTGGAAGCTAACTATAGCATAATCAACAGACTTGTCCATAACACAAACTGATTTTTAAATAAATAATAAAAAAAATCTTCTCTCCCTCAATGCTGTTTTTCTTCATCCCCTCCTCCATGTCATGAGGAACCTCCTTGCTGCTCCACATTTCCCCCTTCAGCTCATTCACACCAACTCTGTGTTGATTACTTCAGGGCTTTGTGGACTGACCCACAGACTGAGGCAGACTCCTGCTGTGGCTCTACAGCACACCTAGGATCCCTCTCTGGTTACTGGTGTGAGAGTGGGAGACCTGAAGCTCTGTAACAAGGCCTGCAGCACCTCTGCAAACCCACAGCAGGGGCCACCCAGAACAGAACATCACACATGATCAGGTTGAAATCTCAAGCATTCATGGGGACTGATCTGTCCAAAATTAATACATGCCTCTTCTTTATGGAGCAGCAGCACCTTACCTTCACATGAGTTAAGTTCCAATCAGCATGTTTTTCCAAAACATGGACATTATGATCAAATACATCTGCAACATAGATGTACCTTCAAAAGAAAGCATCTCTTAGCAAAGTGTATGTATGAGCAGACACCAAAAACAGTCAGTTCCTCCAGTGTAAGCTCAGCTCTTCCTGTGAGGAATGTCAATTCACAGTTCTCACACAGCAAAAGACATTGCAAGCAGGCCACAGGGCACTGAACTGAAGCCTGCTGAGATGCTAATGTAGCTTTCCAGTGTACCAGTCCTTCCATTATGACATGGAAGCAGGCCTTGGATTGTGAGATCCACAGATACACTTTATTTTTCATTTAAGATCATCTATCTAAACCACATGACTGGTTAATTCAGTCTGACAGACTTTGAGACTGTAGAGCATTCCCCACTTGCAGAAATCCTGCTCCACTAATCCTTGCAAGTAATATCCACAAACTGCTGCATCAGCTGGTTAAAAGGAAAGAACATTTGATCTTATTGCATATAAACCACCAGGTAAAGCAGCAAACATCTCCTCTAGTTAAAGACCAAGACAGATGACTTCTGTTCTACAAACCTTCTGCAACGCTTACACTGGATAGGTAGCACCTTGCCTTACATGAGCTAACTCAGGCACTTTGACCACAGAGCTACCACGTGTACAAATGGGGACTTCAGGATTCTTTTGGTTGATCAAACAAAATCTGAGGCAGGGAGAAACTTACTTTCTGTCAGGTGAAATGTTAATTCCATTGGCTGAATAAAACCCAGCTGCTACTTCTTTAACTTCTTTTGGACTGTAGTAAACAACATTCGACCAATTTAAACCCAAGAACATCTCCAAGAATATCAAGATGAAGTCAAAGAAGTAATGGTCATTGGTAGCATAGAAGCTGTCTGGTCCCACAGCCACTATATTATTCACACTAAAAAAAATAAAGGGAGAAAAATCAATACAAGAATGAAATGGGAGATATGAAGGAGCACTGAAGGACTTCCCAGAATCCAGGACATGGTCATCCCAGAGACATAAAGGGGCTGCAATTACAGATAGCTGATGTGTTATTGAGGCCCTTTTTACTTCTGTCCTCTTCTACATTGGCTAGGACTGTGTAGTGCTGAACACGACCACCGGGTATCAGCCAGAGGTCTGGCAACCTGCTTACAGGCCCATGGAATTTTTTCTCTCTTTTGATTTCTTTCAACTACTGTAAACCAGAGAAAACACAGGAGTTGTGACAACTTTTCTTTCAGGCTCTGTTTGTCTTACAGTGATTTTGCAGTAGGACAGACCAAAAAAATTATGTGTGAAAGAAAAAAAAAAGCTAAAAGTATGTTTATTTTTCCAGTGTAGCAAATTCAGAATAATAGACTATCTGAAGATTCACATCGGCAGTGATCTTAGAGTGGGTTACATGAGAGCAGGAGAAATGGATGCCAAGATAATTCACTGGCATCAACCACAGCAATGCTTAAGACTGATTCAGTGATACAACTATTAAAACTCTCATTTACAGAAAAGATTGGAGAAACAGGTTTTGATTACACAGATAAGAAGTAATCAATAAGAGAAACAGGAAAGCTGGTTAAAGAGAAAGTATCTCATACTGACAATACCCTAAGACCCAAATCATCCTACTTTGGATTTTCCCAAAGCAGCCCATTCTTCTGGGGAACGACAGATTTGTCTCCAATACCTGCTCAGAAGTTCGTGTCGGATGGTTTTCAGGTGTACAAGAGAATTGTCATCTTCTACAAACTTAAATAATTCTACTGTACTCTTCTGATGGGGATGATTTACAACAAAGAGGTACACGGTGTCATCTTAAAAAAAAAAAAAAAAAAAAAAGAAAGAAAGAAAGAAAGAGAAACAGCTGAATTTTGCCAGATCCCTGCAACAGTTTGCACAGCTGAGCCACCCACAGCTTTGATGTAGTCTCCAGTGCAAAGTACATCTTGGGTTCAGTACATTTTCCTCATGGCTCTTCTGAGGCAGCACAAGTACCAAAGGATGTCACTGCAACTGGATCCAGATCTCCAGCTACTCTTCTCCTGGACTCACTCTGCATGGAACTGCTCTGAAAACTACCTTTTTGTTATTTCTGCCAAGGTAGAAATAAATCATGATTCCATCCTTGTGCCCAAGCCACTAGGTTTTGCAGTCTGCTGCACTATAGTGACTGCTTGCATGAAATAGCCACAGTCAGCTGGGAAGGAGGGCTCTTTGGTTCATTCACCACATCTTTTGAGAAAGCTGAAGAAGCATCCTGCTCCTGTACTCTGTGTAAACCACCACCACAGATGGACCCCAGTGTGAGACAGGTGTAAATTGGTAAAATAAACTTTGTGTGGCTTTTAACTCTTCAAACCTCCCTTGTTTTGTTTCTTTTCAACACATAGGCATTTTTCTGTCTCAGACAGTCTGAAATTATGTACAAAGGCATTTGCTTTAGCAGCTGACTTTTAGAAAAGAGGTCAACAAGGACAAAAAGCCAAAAACTCTTTTACTCTCCCAACAAGCACAGGGTATTGGGGGTGGAATGTAAGGCCACAACGGGATCTCTCTTTCTGTTCTTTAGGCTGAGATTTGCCACCACCTTGTGTTAAAAGTCTCTTTACCTTTGTCTATGTAGGTGCTGATTCCATGGGGGTTAAATGATGCCAGATCAAACCCTCGGCTGATTCTCAGTTCCACTGCTCTGGGATTGTCTTCATTCAAATCCATCAAAAAGATTTCACCTGGCTTGTCTGGTGCAAGGCTCTTTAATCCTGGATATTTCAAGCCCTGTAAAGTCAAAACATAATAAAAACATTCCTGGATAAAAAGTAAAGGGAAGAATCACAAAGCTGAAAACAAGTCCTTGTTTGAGCTTGCAAGAGGGTGTCCTTCTGCTTCATCCTGCTGTGCCATGATGGAGACAGAGGGACTGGCTCCAGACTTCCCAGCGAGCCCTTAATTGCAGAGCAGAGGGAGCACAGACTTTGTGGAGGGCACAAGGAGCCATGCCCACCACCTGCAACCCAGGTGGTGGCACCACTGCCACCCCCTGCAACTACCACCTATCCGGGTGCTCCCCACATGGCAAACCAGACATGCATGGGGGACAAAATGAAAGAATGGCACCATCAAATGTATTCAACATGGTAAAGCCACAGGGAAAAGCAGCAGTGTGACAGCTTACAATTTCTGGCATTAATTTTGCAACCAGTCCCTGAGTGTCCACAGAGATGAAAACACCAGCTTTCATTTTAGAAAACAATCACTAGCCCTCCTGATTGCAAAGAAAAGCTTTAAAACGTGTACTAAAAGCTAAATCAAGAACAACAAAATCAACACAAAAAATCTGTTCGTTGTTTTTGCTTTGCTTTGCTTTATTTTGTTTTAAGATAATTAATTAATACACCTTCTTAACAAGGGAGAGGTTTGACATTTCAATATTTTGAGTAAGCAGCATGAAAAAAATTCAAGGTTATGTGGGCAGATAATCTAGTGCATTAGGATACGTTTCTCAGAGCCACCGCTACCACTTCAGTGTCAAGAAGTGCACTTGCTCAAGCAGAAGAAAACACTGGCTAAGCTGACACAAGTCTGGGCCATTCCTAAGGAGACAGCCAGTCTTGTAGAAAAAGTATTCATCCTGCAGTTTTCATCTATGGCTTTGACAGATAAGGAAGCAGGCAGGGGGAGAGGGTGCAGGCACTTACGGAGCTGATGAAAGCCAGTCCATTGGGAAGTATGTCAATGTCTTCTGAACCAGTTTCTGCAAGACAGAGATAAACAGGGTGTTTCAGATGACACTAAATGTTCCCCAACAAAAATGCCTCCTGTTCTGTACAATTCCTGCTCTCACAAACACCCCTTTCTGATATGACCGTAGAAGTGATGAAGTTCAGCGGAGAAGTTCACATCATATTAAAAGCTGTAGCAGAAGGCAGCAGCACGCCAGGTTAGGAAATAGGACTGGGGTTCATCTCCTTCTGGGGGCTTATGGGTGCTCCCACGGTGGCCAGGAAGTCTCCCACCCAGGTCTGCACAGCACAGGGTGGTGCAGGGTGAATCACCCGCTTTTGACAATGATGTTCTGCAGGAAACAATTAGCACGCACCACAGGATTTTCATGGCAGGATTGTACCAAACACTCAGCCCACACACTTGCAGAAGGCAGCTCTGGGAATTGCACACACTCATTTTCCTGGTTAAGCTGGGACACTTCATTAAAATGGATTGGCAAATATTTAGTTAAAGCTCTCAAGTGACAGAGAACCTACTGTATCTTTAACAGCTAAGGGCTTTAATAGTTAGACCACAATTTTAACTGCGGGTAATAACTTCCAATAGCGCCAGTTCCTGTAGTTCCTGTAATATTTCTCCCTGCCTGAAAAATTAAATAAAATAAAAGCCCTTTAGTAAGAACACCAGAGCAATTTTAGGCTTTGCTCAAGCACTCTCCATAGAGCTTTTAGTCCAATGCTAAAGCACATTTGCCATCCCACATTTTCACTGCTCCCCTGAGAAGCCTCCCTTCTCTTCTCCAAATCAACAGCACAGCAATCCCCACAAGCCACTTTCCAGATGATGGCTAGATTGAACCCCCCGGGAGCATTTGCTCATAGGAGGAAATTGTTCTGCAGGTTTTCTTTAACTAAGCCACCAACACAAGGTTTTCCATCCAGCTTGTCCCGCCTCTCTGCACCCCCTCCTGCTTGGACACAAACCAGCCCCGTGACCCTACGTGGGTCACACGATCCTTGCGCCTGCAAATTTGAGCTGGATTTATTGTTTGCTTTTATGTAACTCCTATTTATCCAGGCACTAATTCAGCCAGGATGAAATTCATGCTGAGGCTGCTGATCAGCCCTTGTGGGTAGAAACCAGATCCCCAAAATCACCACTGAGGCAAGTTCCTTCCCAGCACAGCCCTCGGGAGACACGGTGACAGGACTTCACCCAGAGGGAAAAGGGATGGCAACAGGGCCAGCTCCTCCTCAGCCTCAGCAAGCCCCTGCTCCACCTCATTACACTAATTAGAAGAGGATCCCAGCCATCTGAACAGCTAAAGGTCTGCAGATGCATTTTGGGGAGAACCAGCCCATTACCTCACCCCCTGAATCTTGTTCTGAATTTCTGCCTGGCTTCAGGCAGGAGGCAGACATCTGCACTGATGTGCCCAGAGACATTTAGAGCCTGTATTTTCCAATTAAAATTCTGAATTTGGATTTTTCAGCTCAGCTCACACCCTGGTTTAAGTAACAAACTCCTCAGCGTTTCCAAGTTTGAGTTCATTTATAAGATGGGGGTAGGGGCGATTCCCCACTTCCTGGAATTGCTGCAAAGATAACAATATAAAGAAATGTGGAAAGGCTCAATTACCATGGTGATGTCAGCTGGACAGACAGCTTTTGCTGGCAGAGCATGCTGGTGAGTGAACAAACAGAGATATAATCATTTATTGCTACTGAATTAGCGGGGCTGCCAAGTAGAAAGATGAGCAGGCTAATTGGGAGCAGATAATTAAAAAGTACAAGTTTCTGGTGGAAGAAGCATAATGAGAGCCCTGAACCCAACTACTTTGGAAGCAACTGCCCAGCAAAGCACATTTTGGCCACTTTTCAGCCAAGTCCTGAGGAAGAGAGTGTGGAAGAGAGTGAGGGTTGGTGGAAGAGCAGCAAGATGCTGATTCAGCACAATCCTGCTGAGCTGGCACCACCAATGCACTGGGGAGAGGACAGAGACAGACAGCTGGACACAGGGAAGCTCCCAGGCTCTCCTGTGGGATCCCACTGGTGGTCCCATCTGGGCTGCTGTCACAGACACCATATAGGACAGGAGAAATCAGAACTGATTTGTTAGGTACCAGTTAGCTCCACTGTTTTGCTTAATTGCATCACCAAGACCAGCTTGTCCATATGATTATCTGAATAAGTGGTGTTTTGTTTAAAAAAAAATATAAAGATACCAATAAAAATTACTGTCTACCTTTAAAACATTATATTTTTGTTCTTTATTTTATCTTAGTATTATGCATTCTGCAGATGAATCCAACAAATGCTCCTCCCCGCCCTAGATTTCATGTCCAAAAGCAAGTGACTCTTTTGCCTGTATCCCATGAATTGTTCCAAAATACAAATATTTTTTAGCAATTTCTATAGTAGCTTCAGATTACAGTATGTAAGGTTAGTTTATAACTAACCAGTAACATGAGTAGACACTCCTATAATTCAGAAGATACCTTTTACTCTACGGATACAGCCTTTTCTACTTATCTGTGAATGAGATTTAGGTCAAGCTGCAGTTTTCTATTGGTTACTTCAATGTTTGCATCTGTGCTTACATGGCATAATATTTGAAAAGCAGAATAGATTAAAAAACAAACAAACAAACAAAACCAAAAACTACAGTAATTATGAAATTGTGCAGAAAGAAAAGGCTTCACTAGAGAATTTTGCCATTTTTGCTCTGGGTTTGCTTCCTTTACTACAGATGCATCGCTTTTAGCATCATTACCATAGACTGTGCCAGACACCTGTTCTTCTGTGTACAGAAAGGATAGTTTAAGATTATTTGGTTCAGAGCTGCTCCAGCTCATTACCTATGTCCAACTTAAGAGGTCAGAAGGACTCTTTTAAAGACTAAAATAAAGACAAACTTTAACAGCATTTTAAAGGAAAAAGTCCCAGGAGGACTAAGACGTCCATGTGGAAAGATAACCTTACACAAAGTCACCCACAGGTACAGATCTAAGTGCAGCAAATCCCTGATTTAGTCTGAATAGTGCTACCTGGGCAGCACCTAGACATTAGGGCTCCTTGGCTCCCCTGAGTAATACAAACCCTCCCAAGTCATACTAAATTAATTTTGGAAAACATTTGCTCCTACATACCAACTGTTAAATTTGCATCAATCCTTTGTTATATCTCTTGCTGCCACATTGGCCTTGATGAATTAATTTTTGGCATTTTAATTTTTCTAAAGAGCAGCAAATGGCCAAGTGAAGGCAAAGGCACAGAGCTCCCTGTGAGGAGACAATGCTACAGGGGAATGGCAAGAAGCAGAAATGAAGCTCTGTAAATTGATCCACCACCGCCTCTGAGCAGAGCCAGATTCTCAGAATTCACCTAATCTCCATGCAAATGTCAGGCACCAAAAATGAGGTATCATTTGGAAATTAAACACAACCATATTTGCAATTTCCAGCTTTCCTCTGTCCTCAATGAGTAATCACGTTGCAAAAAGTCCCATCAAGGTTGCAAAGCAATATGTTTAAAATAATTAGTCAAAGCTTATTTTAATATGAATCAACATCAAACAAGCATCATTCAGTCTCATATGAGTAAACTACAGCTTAATCTAGATGACCTGGAAATTTTTTTTCAAATGCAATTTCTTCTGCACGTAACATCAGGCAGAGGAACTCTGCACACACTCATTCATGGCAGGAATCTGAGTTTACAAAGGTGTTTGATTCCTGACATAAGGAAGAAGCAAGCTTTATGCAATCAACACAGTGACTCAGCAAGCTCAAAGGTGAGGTTCTTATTGTTCATCCAATGACTTTTTTAAACATGCAAAATCAAGGCAAACTTTGACAGAATTCAAGACATTTCTGAAAAATTTGAGACCAAAAACCCCAGCCATTAAGCCTGCATTAAGTTTTAAAAAATATTATTGATATATATAAAAATTATGTATATAAAAATATAAACAGAGACACAAAAAACCTGATTTGTTTGAAAGCTACCCATTTTATACCACATTGGTTACCATAAAGGGAAAGAAAAAACCCAAGACAGCAATATTACAGGGTGCTACAGAGGTACCCAAAGTACAAAGTCAACATTGTAGCCGATCTGTTAAACCTCTTTGCAAAGCAGACTGGGATCACAAATATGACCCCTTGCTCTTTGAAACCACGCAGCTCAGTTGTGCAACCGCCCGGTGCTCCTGCCCCAGTTTGCTCCGCCCCGCTCCTCCATCTCCGCCAAAGGAGGCGCTAAGGAAGCCCTCCCGGCTGGCATTGAGCAGCTCCTCCTGAGCCACATGCCCGTGCCCTTCTCCCAGAGCTCCCACACTTGCAGCATGTCCCATCTTGAAGATGTCACTAGCTGCCAGCCACCTGTGGGTACCTGCCTAAAGAGCCAGCACAGCACACCCTCATCTAAAAGCCAAATAATTTCCTGAGTGGCTGAGCAAAGGGAGAAGTGTTAGCAAGGTGATCATTTCCAAGAAAAGGACCAGAAACATTCAATGCCAAAGGCAAGAAGTATCATACCAGTTTTTCAGTATAATTTTCTTCCTGGAGTTTTTCCCTACCTCTAAGTCCAAGCAATAAATGCAAGTCAAATTAGCACTTTGTCTTCAGGGTCAGGCTTTTAGAAGCAGTTCCAAAATAAGGCTGGACAAAAGAAATGCACTCAGTTATTTTGGGCACGTACCGATGCCTTTAATGAGCCGGCAGTTCGGGAGGGTCACTGGGGCTATTTCCCGGGAAGCATTGAGCCTGTTCCTGCAAGAGGAAGGAGGAGGGTTAACAGCATGCAGCCAGTTTTAAAACAGGTAACGTTCCCACCATACTTGATCTTAGTTTCATTGTCTGCCATATCACAGCAACAAATCTGCCATAAAATACTGAATAAGCCAAACCCAGAACTGACAGCAGCAATAGCTCCAAATCACTGTGATGGTTACACACACCCAGGGACTCAGTGATGCTGCTGCATTGAGTATCTTCAGGAACCTGACTTTGTCCACAAGCTTAAGGAACAAACTCTCGTGACCCACCACAGCTCAAACACAAAAATAGCACAGTCACACTTTCTTCAGGCTTTCCACCTAAATATAGTAACACCCTGCAGTTAAGACCAATATTTCAGATGAGGAAAGGGCAACCTTCCACCCCAACCCACTGACTATTTTTGGTGACCAGGCCACCAGCAGTTGCACTTTTTTAATTTCTTAGTCCACATCCAAAAGCAGCTGTGGCACTGTTGCAAGGCAGGACTAGCCACTTCCTAATAACAAGCAGGGATCAGTATTACAATTTTCCTCTCCCTTCCCCTCCTCTTCTGCTGCTTACTCACAAGTTTATCCTTCAGCAGTGCTTATTTCAATCCTGAATACTCACAAAATTTGATCTCTGGCTCACACTTTACTGGACAAGCAGATGGAGACAGGCACCTACACGAGCTGCTTTTTCTATATCCACTCTATTCCAAGTTGCAAGGTACATCACTGTCTCCTGTATTTGACCATGGTATTCCACAGTGCAAAAAGCAAGTGTGTTGTGTTTTCTATGTGAAAATGTCCAGCTAGCATACTGGAATATTTCTTCCTTCCTTTTTTTTTTTTTTTTTTCCCCCCCCCCAAAGGCAGTATTCAAACTAACAGAGCTCCTCCTTTGCATGCCTATCACACACACTCTGTCGAGGCTGTACTTGGTCCAGCCACAGGAAATTCTGAATGTAAAAATCCCATAGCAAAACCTACCCATGTTTATGTTACAGTTTTAGGCATAAACATCAACTAAAGCAGTATCAGTCTGTGGCATGAAAAATATGCGATAGAGCTGAGCACCATATGGTATGTCAGTCCTGCAATTGTTTTAAACACTTCATTATGAATTCTAAATTACTTCAGGATCATTGACACAGTTTGTTAACATGGGGGGGGGGGGGTTGCCAAGGGGGGGAAGAGGGAAAA